CTGCAGGACAGGACATAGTTAAGAAAAAAGATAAAATAATGAGGGAACAAATAATATTGTCAAACATTARTTTGGGAATGTGATTCATTTTATTGATTTAATTGCTTTCATATTTTCACAAAAAATATAAAAAATAAAAATGCTATGATCTAAATTTAAACGGGTTAAACTCTGGAAATGTGCACTTCTAAGAACCTTTCATTCTGTCTTAAAACATCAACAGGTTGCTGAATGCAACACACTCTCATGAAAGGTCCATTTAAAACTAACAGGTTAATTGTTGCCATCAAACTGGAGAATCCACTCTTCCCTGTACAGCATTGTTTTCTACTGTATTTCCCTGATTCTCCCTCTCTGCTGCACCGACCCTCAGCTTTACCTCAGGAACAGACAGAAAACAAAGAAAAAACAAGTTTAGTTTAATCAGATGGAGGATTTGCTGTCTGGGCTTTTTTTTTCCAATAACAAGTCTGCTGACAGGAGATGAACAAACTGCAGAAAGCAGATAAATAAATAAATAAATAAACTGAGGCAGAGGAAAAGTGTAAAACTAAAAGTTAGAAAGAAGACATCATTCATCAAACTGAAGAAAGAGGATGTCAGAAGTTAGAAAGTAAAACTGGAGAGAAAAAAACTAAAACTTCTTTTTGAGTTTACAGCCAATCTCAAAGGTAAAAATAAACYTGTCCTCAGACTGTGCTGTAAGAAAAACTGATATGAGTTTTTTTCTTCTGTTTCATCAAAACATTTGAGTTACAAATAAGTAAAAACAAAGCAATTATTAAATTAAAATTTCATTTTTTTATTTTCATAAATGATTGGTTCTGCTTGCACCACTTTTAAAACACAAATCCTGAAATATTCTTTTATGAAATATAACAGATAAAAACCTGCTATATGATTAAAACCTGCTGTGTGACACACTGTTGTTGTAAAAATCGTTTCTTCTAATCGACAGAATGTCTAATGAAACAGAGACATGTCAGAAAAAAAGCATCCCAAGTTGTACATCATTATGTTCAAATGTTATTTCACACACATTCTTGCACACACATTAAAAAGTTGTGTTTTTGTGTTTAATATAAATATTCTAACAGCTGAGCCATGTTCAGCATGATGACATGTTATCCTAACTCTGAATTATGTTTTAAAAGCTTTCAAATTTTCCTTAATTTATTTTAATTGCAGCTCTGATTAAACACCTCTGGTTGCTTTTAGCAGATAACGGCTCACAAACATCAGTTGTTCTGACTTACAGTACTTTTGGTGTGTAGATATGTGCAGATTTCACACATCCTACCAGTAAATGCTTTTCAAATGATTTGGAAAATAAATATCTGCATTTTTTTTAATGGCAAAAAGAAAAGTGAATGGTATTCATTAATGCAAATAAAAAATGCTTCATTTTGCACAAACTGTTGCAATTACATCAAAACATAAGAAATTGAGATGAAGAAAACTTAAAACATTAGCAATGTGAGCGATCAAAGAAATGCTAAATAATATGAAATAAAAATCAGAMAATAAAATAATTATTCTTACCCAGTTAGAGGTGATGGGCAGCAGATCCCAAACAATTCAGAAAGATCCAACAAGTACAGAACATAAACAGATGGATAGTCCCTTGTTTAAAATTAATTGATTTTTAGCTTTTTTTCTGGTCATAAAGGAAAGTTTAACTAAAGAAACAAACAAGAAACAAAATAAATTTGAAACAATATTAATACAATTCTGCTATAGCTGTACAAATAAAACTAATATTTTTTTATTCATTCTCTGTTTTGTTTAAGTCAAATAACTGCATCCTAACTTTATTCATTTATAAAGTCAAATTAAAACATGTTTTACCAAAAYCACAGCTCAGTTCCATCTGTTGATCAACTCACCAGCCTCTCCCAGTTTATATAAAATCCTTGCTTTCATCTAGTCTGCATCTAGCCTCCCATATGCATCAGGTTGCTGTCGGTCACATCTTCTTGTTCTGCTTTTAGTCCTGGTCCTCAGTTTGAGCCTTTTCTCCATGTAAACTTATATCCATCCTGTCTGTTTTGATAACTTGTCTGCAGTTTAGAGTTTATTTCTCCACACATACAAAAAAAGGGGAAAAAACTCTTAATGGGTTTCCAAATGAAAATGGTATAAAGGCATTTCTAAATGAGGCAAACATAAATACAGTTTTTATATAGTAACAGTAATTATTAATCCAATACATCATCAAGCTTCAGATGAAAGCAATCATAATTTATTCCACCCATGTTTTTTTCCATTACTTGTTCGTTTATAAAAATAAATAAATAAACCTAATCATGAATGTTACCAAAACAAAACAAAACAAAAAACATTAATGTGCATGAAATTGGGAATTAAAGGTCTTTCTTATAAAATAACTACAAATCTATCTTTAGAACAACCAATCAAGACAAATGTTGACTTACCAGACCAATCAATTACCATGTGGAAGATTATTCATTCAGAAACAAATAGTTTCTAATTACAAAAAAAAACATCCAGCTGTTATTTTTAAAGCCCTCCCAATGATGCCAGACATTTGAATAAGGAGATTTAAAAAAGGGAAATTGCTCATAAAAGCAGCAGTGGTTGTTGACTCTGTCAGTTTGTCGATGAATCACAGCAAGAATCTGGTTTTGYGTTCCTCAGTCGTCTGAGTGGAGCTGAGTTTGCTGAAGTGGACAGTTTGTTTCATCTTCTGTCTTGTAAAGTTCCTGGTTCTTTAATACATACTGTGTGTACAGGTTCAAGTCCTGAAGAACCACTGAATGTGCCTCRATCCTGATCCAAGTCTGGGAGTTGTTTCTAACCTGGAGTACTTGGAATTTGAACCTCTTTATTAGAACCTGTCATTTATTTATTTATATTTTTATTTTATATTTGATTTACAATATGTTTGCATTGTGAAATGAGATTATATTACAAAAATTATCCCTATTTTCTGTTTAGATTTGGATTTTTTAATACAAGTCAAAAACTTGTTTTATATGGGGAGGGGTAATAGTGATAAAATTATTTTAACTTTTTTGGACATCATCAACATTTTTTATAATCATTCAGAATGCAAACTGTTTTAATAGCTACAGAGATCAAACTAAATGGCACTAAATGCTGTCATCCCTGCCCTCTTCATTTCATATTATTATATTTGCCTGAATCATTTCACATGTTTAAATCTGTCTTGATTTAATCTGTTTTATGACATTTTTGTAAAATATATAAAAAATGAGGCATTCCAACCTCGTGTGACTGTGATTAGAAATTAAAAGGATTTCCAATAATAAATAGTTTAGCCATAAAATAGAACCAGAACACTTAATAGTGCTGCAGGACCCAAAATGGTTTCCTCTTATTGGCTAACTGAGAACTGAGAGTTCATTTGTTTTTTGACAGAAAACCCTCAATATTGTGGCAGTTATGAGACAAATCCGAAGAGAGGCTGAAGGAACAGGCCCACGGTTCCCAGGATGCAGACGGTCACAAAAACCCAAAGGAAGATTCTGTCAATCACCATTGCAACATATTTCCAGTCATCTTCAACCTGTGAACGATAAGAAACAAAACAAAAACAGGACTAAAACAGTGTTACTAGGGGTGCTTTTTTTTCCCAGACAAGTGTGGTGGTTTAGGATTGGAGTTGATGGGTGAGAAAAGGGGGATTCTGGGAGAAGAAGGGAAACTCGGTGAAGTTAATCAACAGAGGATCTGTAAATAATTTACAGAAATAATCCCAATAAATGAATTGTGTCTGATGAAGCAACAGGCAGGTTAACAATGCTGACTGCAACACAAGCTTTGCACATCAAAGACTTGGTCTCCCCTCTGAGAGATTCCTTCCACTTTATTTATAACTGACAGAACGAGGAATGAGACGGCTCAACTCCTACTCAACGCTAACACTGCGGTTAACCAGTGGAGCAGGTCCGGCTCGACACCAGTGATGGACAGAATTACAGCTGAGCTCTCCACAGCCAGCACAGCTGTCAGTGTGAAGGCTCTCTTTCTTCTTCTTCTTTTTTTTTCCATAAATGTATTATGCAACAGAATGCTGGCTGTGCATTTTATTTTTATGAACTTGTGCATAATTAGAAAGTATGGAAAGAAAAGTTTATGACATAGCACAGTTTTAAAAGTTTATTCAGAATTCAACAAAACTAATGTGCTGTTTTTCCCCCCTAAAACTAAAATACATCACAGCAATCTACTAAAATGTTATATAACACAATATTTGGGTTAATTTCATTTTGCAGCTTTGGTTTCAGGACCATGAACTGTTTGCATAAACCCTGGTTCAATGTTAAGATAAAAAGAAAACATGATATTTGAATGGAAACAGTAAAAATGTGAATATTTTTTGATTAAAAAAGACAAAAACACAACCATCATATCTGTGTCCTGTTTGTGCACACAGAAGACTGTTCTCTTGTTTTTTCCTTTTCTCAGTTTGCCAGTCTGTAACTCACCCAGTCCCTGTTTATTCTTCATTAAACAGAGAACACAGAAAACATGGACAGCTGATGCATTTGAATTAAACTGATGAGGAACAACAAAGTAAGGGCTCACCTCCTTGGCCTTGTTTCGGCTCCTCATGTTCTCTGCGATGTACTTGACGCTCTCGATGGCCTGTTTGATCTCCGGTGACACCACAGAGAAGGCCATCACTGCGTTAACGTACTGAGGACTCAGCTGACGCTTCATCTTTCCAGAGTCTGGAGTATCTGGTGTCTCCCTTCCATGCCGACAGGGGCAGGAACATTTCTTTTCACTGCAGCTCTCCACAGACGAGAGCATACTGTCCCCGAACTCCAAACAATTAAGAGACCCTCCACCAACCTGCTGAAAAGAAAAATATTCAAACTTCATTTTTTTCCTTGTTTGATGACCTGTCTTTACTTTACTTAAATTATTTCACAAATATGTATACTTTCTGTATATGGATTCGTCTAGAATGTTGGTCTACATCAACAAATCATCCATTCATTTAAATCAGGTGTGTTGGAACAGAGAAACAAGTACAACATGCWGGCCTGCAGACCTCGAAGACCAGAAGTGACTATCCCTGCATTAGGATTTTCCAGATTTTTGTTTGGAACTTGGGTCACAACATTTTTTTTTGTGAGCACTGTGTTTGATGAAAGGTATTCTTACTTGCATCAAACTATTCTTCCTCTTCTTCCTGCCTTTCCCGCCTCCTCCTCCCCCTCCAGCTCCTCCTGCTTCCCCACTGTCGTCCAACCACCCGGCCTTGCCATCCTCATCAATCGGTCTCCGCATCAGCATGATCCTCGGCAGCACTTTGAGGAACACCGACCTCACCCAGCACGGCATGGTGTGGGTCATCGGCGTGCGGTAGTGCACGTTCAACACGAACACAGTGATGACGATGCTKAGGGTGACGAAGATCATCGTGAAGAGCAGGTACTCCCCGATGAGAGGGATGACCAGCGATGTGGAGGGGATGGTCTCTGTGATGACGAGCAGGAACACAGTGAGGGAGAGCAGGACAGAGATACAGAGCGTGACCTTCTCTCCACAGTCGGATGGGAGATAGAAAACCAGCACTGTGAGGAAAGAGATGAGGAGGCAGGGGATGATGAGGTTGATGGTGTAGAAGAGTGGCAGGCGCCGGATGTAGAAGGAGTACGTGATGTCTGGGTAGATCTCTTCACAGCAGTTGTACTTGATGTCATGTTTGTAGCCTGGAGCGTCAATGATTTCCCATTCGCCGCTCTCCCAGAAGTCTTTTAAGTTGACCTATCACATGGATAAAGCATTTTAAACTGGTTTACCTTGATCTGCTGCAAGAGCCACAGTTTGGATCAATTTACTTTTTTGTAAGCAGGCTGTTACATATTAAAAGTAAATACTGGGTTTATAATTTAATTAGTTACTAATTAAATTTTAGCAGAGTTGCAAAGCAAATAAAGTGTTTTTTCACCAGTATTTTCATGCATGAGCAAAATTTGTTGCTGGAATAATGTCTGAATCAGTTCTGTTTGTGAAGCTCATGTCTCCTACAGTCTTAGAACTGGATGTTAAAAGTGATATGGTTCACATAATGACTGTGTAGATTTACCTGAAAGAATAAAAGTAAAGCAAATTCATCTGACAACTTGTTACATGACTCACAACTTTCAAAACTACTTTCTTCAGATGTAAGAATCCAGTAAAACCAGAGACAGGACCAGAAGGTGGAAGTTGAGGCACACAAARAGTGAACATCCTCTAGTGGTTGACTAGTTCCACCACTCAATATAAACAAAATAAACATTTTTTCTGATTATCTCCTTGTCACTGCACGATCTGTTCCAGAAGCATGATACATAACAYGAGCTCATTTGCGCACACGCTAAAAGAAATACAGCTAATTTGTGCTAAGAGATATACATTTGGATTACCAGTTAATGTGCCTGATTTAGGAAAAAATACTGCAAATTATTATTTTCATACTTAATTATAAAAGTGTGCTAAATTCTAACCTGTAAACTATTTTAATATTACATACATTCTGATTAATTCAATATAGCTCTACAATGTGGACATATTTATTATACGGACTTGCCGATCTAAACAGACGTAATTTCTAGACGGTGTTATAATTCATCTCTTTTCCATTTTATTTAATTTTTTTCTGGAATAAAAATCCATATCTGTTGCAAACGTTGTCTTTTCTATGAAGCATTGCAGGTGACGAAAGACTGAAATCAAATACATTCTGTCATCAAGCGGTTTAGCGAAATGCTACACGCTAAAAACAAACAGCCCTCCTGCTAGTATTTATTTTAGTGATGAGCTGTTGATACGAATTGTGCTTCCAGTACAGATCGGGCAATGGTACCCCTCAATTCCTGACTCTTACTTTGCTTCAAATTTGAACAATGGAAATTAAGGAAAATGTTTGGGACATCTTTAATATTGGCCTCAAGACTTATTATAATGTTTAGTTTCCTATATTATTTATCTAGTTTACATAAACAAAGGTTTTAATGAAAAAGTGAGAAAAAGACAAAGCATTAAGCTGCAGCAGGCTTTCTAAGAGTAGCTTGTTAAATTCACTTCAGGTAGTTCTTTGTTAAAGCTATTTAACTCTGAAATAAAGATGTTCCCTTTAAAAGACCTGTTTTACAAGGAGTCAAACATTACGCTCAGGAGTTCAGGATTTTTTTTTGTTCTTCAAGAGTTGAGAGTTGATGTGGAGATAAATAGACTCAGTCCTACTGTTGTTTTCCTTCTCCACTGTCTCCACAGAACCTTATTAAAACGTTCTCCACCCAAGCAGACTGTAAACAGCTTAATTAGATTTGAACACAGACACAATTACTGACCTTGGATCCAATAAGTACCAGGTCAATCTTGGCTTTGTCATAAGTCCAGGAACCAAACTTCATGGAGCAGTTCTGGTAGTCAAAAGGGAAGTAGGTGATATCCATCGGACATGAGGATTTAAAAATGGCGGGAGGAACCCAGGTGATAGTTCCATCAAACTTCAGCAAAGCCTTGGTCTTATCCTCCACCAGGAAGTCACCTACAGCACTGAGGTGTGTGTATGTTTTATCAATGAGAGTTTATTTTTTTCCACAGTAGAAAAGGTATGAGAAGGTTAGAAACAGGAGTGTTTGAAACAACGAAAGGAGGAAGTCCGAGATGTCAGACAACAGGACGGGACGAAAAAATGAAAATGAGGCATAAAAGAAAAGAAAGAATAATAACAAAAACTAAGACTGTGTTACAGTTAAAAAATCATGGATACTGAAGAAAAAATAAGCATTATTGAATAATCTGAATCTGTATTTGATTAAAGTTATGAGCAGCTACAGTGAGAACAAAAGACAAACAAGTTCATTACAATACCGGTTCCAAAAAATCCTTAATGAGCTCCGTTTTTTTTTACAAAAACTTCTACAGTTTCTTTGTTTCAGCATTTGATTTGTTTACTGTGTTCCACTGTGAATAAAATATGGGTTTATGAGATTTGCATATCATTGCATTCTGTTTTTATTTATATTTTACTTTTTTTCAGAAATGTGACTGTTTGAACTGCAGGGACACCACAAACAGACTGATAGTCCCTCACATTAAAATATGAAYTGCAGTATTAGTTTTAGTGCGTTGTACATTATTATATAATTAATTATGCAAACGCATGATGAACAAAAAGTTGGTAATATAAACCCTTTTTTAAGCTTTTTCTTTTGATGTATTTTCTTCTGTTTGTAACGTTTGTAAGTTTCAGAACAACTAATCCATAAAACCTAATGGCATGTGTTAAATGGGAATATCATCTGCTGTGTAAAAGTTATGTTACTGATACTGAACAGGTAAATTSTAACTGCTCTGGTTTTAAAAGGCTCACTTGTTGTAGAGAACAATGTCAGGTCTCCAGATCTTGTTTGAAGGAACTCTGATGAACTCAATCCCATCAAACTCTGTTGGCTTCCATCGCAGCTTGTAGTCATTCCAAATCTGAAGGGGAGGAAAAGCAGACAGGACACAGTCCACTGCAGATATCCACTTCATGAGCATAATTTGTAAAAAAAAAAAAAAAGGCATATTCACATTCCACAGAACTTTCTTTGATGCTTTATAGTCGAGTCATGTAAAGATATTGCCGAAAAGAGAAAACTGGCTCATTGAGCATCTTACTGCTTTCATTCACTCTTAAACGTTCTTCTGCAAAATGAAAAAAAAAATCCCACATTTGATGGAGTTCTTTCTCATACAAAACTCAGTGATTTCAGTAATCAAGGACATGTGCATTCATCAGACCTGTTAAAAGCAGCTCAGAGAGAGGAGCAGAAAGATTAAATACCTCTCTGACAGAAACAAAGGCTCGGTGCGTCCACTTGTTATTCTGTCAACACACCTGCAGGTAGCAGTTTATTAGCCGTGGACTCATTAGTCTTGGTTGTTTGGGCGTCATTCAAGATGAATTTATTCATTAGTAATGTGGATTATTACCTGTTTATGACCTGGGAGATTTTTTAATTAACCAGTTCATGCTACACTGCTTTTTCCATTTAGCTTTCCAGGGATTTTACCTTGTGATCACCTGGCAAACACTTCAGATGTTCAAATAAGTCAATTACTGTAGCCATAAGATTTAGGTAAAGAGAGGAAATTGTTTTTCTTTCAGCCGATCCCTGCAGCAGGAGTCGGTTCACAGGAAGCTTTTCCACCTGCAGCTTTTGCATCGCTAAAACCAAGTCAATGGTGACCTTCACTCATGACGTAACGCATATCATTTGCAAATATTATCTGCCGCTCACTCAAAAGATCGGACGGAYGGACTAGATTCAGAGTCAGTATACAGTAACAGAAGACGTTTAGAGGACGTTTTGACACATCTGACCTCAGAAATCACAGGAAAGTTCAGTTGAAAGGTTGGCTGGAGGTCTTCCACAGACTTGGAAAGCGAGCAGAATTGTTAAAAAGGTTGGTGCTTTTACTGATGTCTATAGCTTAGCTCGCTGCATCGGTGTGTGTGTGTGTGTGTGTGTGTGTGTGTGTCTGTATTTTTATCACTTGAGTCTCCAGTTCTGCCTCATTTAAAGAAACTTATTGGTGATGTTTAAAATGTGTGTAAGAATATTATCTATATGTGTGACTGACTGCAGTAGATCGCTGTACAAGGCTAGCATGGATGCTATTGACTTTTAAAAAACACTACATATTTTATAGTCATGAAACATGACATAGTTTTATAAACCATTTTGTGAATATGTTTGTGACTAAACAGGTGATTTTATGTACAGATTGGTCTGAGTGGCTGCTGTCACAGATGGTTACTGAGAGCAGAAGGTACATGCTAGATTAGATACATGCCTGATTTACTTCCAACACTTAATTGATCTGTTGTTTTTACATTAGGGCAAAAAATCTGTACAAGGTCCTGGCTCCATCGGTAGGGTGGCCCTTGAAGATGATGCAATGACAATAGGCGGAGTCAGGTACTGAAGATGTTGTTATAAAGAAGTGACTTCCTGATTTGGGGGCTGAAGGCAGAGATGAGCTACAGAGCTAATAAAACTGTTTTTCAGTCCACTGCTGGTGGTTGTATATATTTTTTCAATTTCAACATTTAACTATTGGTGCATTGTCTATCTGGTTACGAACACCTATTAAGGTAAACGAACACGCCTAACTTATCTATTATCTTTCAACTGTATCCTGAGTCACTGCTACAAGGAAGTGTAGCATAATGTTTTGTGGTCCTCCCAGTGGAGTTTAATGCTTTTTTCTTGTCTTTATTTAAGTTTAAACACATCTAAACCGGCGCAGCCCCATGTAATTAATGGAGCCACTGTGAGAGTTGGTGTGCACATCAGTATTGAGCGGACACAGTCACATGACTAGTGTTCTAAAAATAGCCTGAGTGCAGGTTCCCATTAGCAGTGTCGGCCATCTTGAATAGGGTTGACTCCAAAGGTTGTTAGCTCAATAAAACACACACTGTGTGGTGTTTTGTGGGGATTTATTTATGCATACTCACATGCCTGAGCCATAAATTTGTCTCCATGATTTGATTCACTTCATCCTGCAGGAACAGTAAAAAGAAAAAAAAAAAAAGAACAGGTTGATCCGTGGAAAAATGTGTGTTTGCATTTGTATCTGAGAATAAAAGTAAATGTTTTTTCTTTCTCTCATCTTTGTCTTCTGGAGCCAAAGTTATCCAGCTGAGAAGGTCACCTGTGGGCTTAAAATTACACAAAGGTACAGATGTCACCTCCTCTCTGCCTCCCTCTGTAATACTCATTTTTGATTTGCAGCCCAGTGAATCTCATGTGTGCACAAGCCACCCACTGAAACACACACACACACACACATACACACACCTGACACATGTGCATCCACATCTGCAGCACACTCACCTTGCCGAGGTGGCAGCTACAGCAAAAATCTCAGTCCAGTCTGAAAAAGACTTCCTGCGGGCAATTTTCTCTTAATCTCCAGATTTTCTTTTAGAAAGTGGAAAATCTCTTTTCATGGGAGAATATTTAAGTCCCCCACCCATAACGCTTGCATTAAACTTAACACGTGTAAAAAGCCAAACAGAGCCGTGTAMCAACACGGTGCGCCGCTTTTGGAATCCATGAAATTGAGCAGACTAAATAAAGACATTCTGCTCTTTCTTTGTGCAGCTTATCTCTTTTTTTCTTTTAGCTTTTTTCTGTTTCATAAGGTAAAAAAATGAGATGAAGATGCTTCAGGAGAGACAACGCTTCACAGAGACTCTGAACTGTTTAAAGGACATTTCACAGAAAGTAAAACTGTGACGTCCTTTTAAACAAGCGTGCGTCTAGCAGGTTTGTTTCTGTGGTGGGGTTGGAAACTCACGACTTTAACCAGCTGTGAAATGGAGACCTCAAACTCCACGGTGACRGGGTCCGAGACATTCTCCACTGGTCTGATGAACTGATTATATCGTCTGAAAAGCTTCCTGAACAGACGGTCCTCTGCCTTGGATGAGAAGCAACCTGAAGGTAAAGGAGCAGAACGAGCGATCAGCAGCGAATAAGCAAAACTAAAACAGCCAAAGAGGGAAATATAAAAAACAATGTGCATTTGATGCAAAGGATGTGACAATCCTGGATCACAGAGGCAGCTGAGCTGATGCATTTTCTTCAGATTCTAGTGATCAAAAGTCTCACTGCAGACATGCATTGTTCTTAAAAGGTAAAAGATATTTTAGTGTTATAACTGTTTTCTGCATTCTGAACAAMTTTCATCAAAAAGCATTGACTCTAAATGCATTTTTAAGGCCCACAGTATGATCTGATCGGGCCAGTGCCCAAATTTGCCTCTTTTTATTCAAATAAATTGCATTACTTCTTTATTTCTCAACCAGTTTGAACAAAGTTTGTATTATTTGCCTATTTGGTTTTAGCTGCATCCAATAAAATGGGTTTTAATACAATTTGGGAACATTTAATTTTTTTGTTGCATACCAACAAAGAAGAACAGAGCAGATATCAGTCCTTTAGCATCTCTAATCCCCTCATGTTACAAATAAGTTAGATTTTAAAATGAAAGAAAGGCTTTAGCTACAGTATAATGTTGATGCAGCGTCAGAAATAAGCCACCTGGATTGAAGGTTTTATCAATCAATAAATCTCTTTATTTAGACACAATTATGGTCCATAAAAAACAGACAAAACAAGAACAATAAAAAAGAAGAAAAATAAAAATATATATAATGAAATAATCAATCACTGACATATAAACTAATGTGCCAATGTTTTTATGTTATGTTATTTGATGACTCATGTTTAAACAAGTGTTATTAGATTCTCACTTTTCCGCTGAGATTATCTGAACATGAAGTATTTTGGTACAAGTGTGTGGCATAATAAATACTAGCATCCAGTTCATAAAAAATATTTTCTCATTTTTGGAGGGAATGTTAAAAAGTGTTCTCAGTTTATTTTACTGCGGTCTGGGTTTTTTGGTCCTGTTCAAAGTGCTGCACCGTTTTCAATGAGTGGATTTATTCTGCAAAATTAAAATTAAAATACATTACAAACCACTAGACTCTGTCTTTTTTTAGGTAAAATGATTTTGGATGTTTTACTTTAAACCGTAATTCAGTCTGTGTTAGCATTACTGTGGACAGGTATTAGCATAGTCACGACATCTGAGAATAAAATCTCCTGAAAAAGGAAAATTCTGTCTAACGAGCAGTGACAACCATGTTCTGCTCGCTTCTCCTGATTATTATAATTCAGTTCTTCTTGGCAGCTGTGAGGGTTTCATCTTATTAGGAGACAATTTATTATGTTTAAGCCTTAATAGCAGGTGTGTGTCTGGCAGGATGGCTTATTTGCTGTGAATGAAACTTAAATTTGGCGAGTCATATTTACTAATCTTTCTGGAACAGAATGAAATTGCCTGAGGTATAAAAGCAGGATGTCTGTATAGAAAATGTCCAGGAAGCTATTTTAGCTTCATGCAGAGGAGGTGCAGACTGGAGCCTGAGGAAAGAATGTGAAAGATTGCTTATTTTTGTTTTTATTTTAGCACAGGTATTCAAAGGATTGTGGGAGAATATAACATATATTTAGATTTAGATTGAAATGTTTAAGCTGTATTTCAAACACAGGTCTCAAATATTTAAGTAAACAAACTGACAAGTGCACACATTCACAGTCAGGCAAAAACGTGAGTTGGGCAATCTGGTTTATTTATATTCCAGTGATTAGTGAAGATCATCGCCCACCCTTTCTTCTAAAACTCTTTTAGAGTTCTGCAGAAATCCAGCTCACCTTCCATCATCACCACCTATAAATATCTTTATCATACTTGTTTTTTTAAAAGGAGGTTTGAAATGTGAGGTGAAACTGGACAGGAAGGAAAATGCACTGACAGAAAGAAAAAAATACTCATTCAAAAAAAAATCACGATTAAAGGTAAATCTCTAAAGGAGTCTGTTCTGCAGAACTTTGAAGAACCTGCCTCACCTCAAAGAAAACAAACGTTTTTTTCCTCCTAACTTCATTTGACTAATTTCAGCCAAAATGAGCTCAAATCCAATTTGAGGACAGAAAAAAAATCTGCTAATTAGAAAAGACTTGTTTGGGTAAAAAGCCTTGAAATCTTGACGATGAAACACTTCTGACCCTGTTTCATTTCCCCGCCTCCTTCTGAGGAGACAGATAACCCTCCTCATTCAGACAACAATGACACAAGAGACCTAGCTGGAGTTGAACTCGCAATGACAGCCCTCCAGAGACAGCAAAAAAGAAAAAAAATCAAAAAAGAAAAAAAAAACATTTAGATGAGACGAAGAAGAGGGGAAAGGAGAGGAGAGACAGAATGAAAGCAAAGCCTTCTTAAGATGTCACTCAGAAGATTACGTGAATCCGAGCTTCTTAGCCTTCTGTCTGATGGCTGCGTTCGCACGACGAGACTACACTAACTGGAGTTAAAAGAAGCATGAAGACAGCTTCAGATTCAGGTAGGGGAAAACACAAAAAGGAACCAGTTTGTGGCAAAATTACAACAAACTTTTAGCAACTCATTAAGGCAACAGGAATCTGTTAAACTGATCAAAGGAAGAAAGGAAAAGAGATCATTCTGATCAAAATAACTTGCAAAAAATGGGAAAAATGAAACAATGGATCGTACCACTCCTCCAATCACTGCAGAGCTGCTTCCTGCTTAAACACAAATGTGTAACGTGCAAGGTTTTCTTACGGTGAAATAAAACAAACTGTTTTTTTAGCTCCTTTAACAGTCGCCCCTGAAATTCCTTAAAAGCCTTTCAACATTTACATTTTTAATGTATTTATTTATTTGTACGGGTGCCAAACTAAAGGTAAGAACTGCAGGAAGTCGTCTGACACCCTAGTTTTCAAAATAAAAGCCCACAGTAGCATCTGGAAACGTTTAAAAGCAGAAACCGCACCATTTCCGCCCACATGTTAAGGGGTTTAATTAGTTACAGGGTCCATTTTGTTTCATTTAGACATTAATCCTTCCTCTCTATTTTCCAAAATAAATTATATTGGCAGTAAATTACCAAGCTGAGTCTGCATTCTTACCAAAAAAAAGTTTGCAGAAAAGGATGAGAATGCTGGATGAAAAAAAATAAATACCCTAATAAAAAGATTTAGAGAAAAGGCTGGTGGTGATATGTTTAACAAATATAGAAGATTAATTTTGATATAAATACCATCAAAAAATGCTATCATTTTTTCCAGATTATTCCCCCTGATATATCCCAACAGCCAACAGATTTGGATATTTATGAAGCTTTGTTCTTGAATTTTAAACCAGATCATGTCTGTGATTAAACAAAAAATTACAATTTGATGAGAAGTGGAGCTGTATATGATTTAATGCTGATATCCAAAAACAATAAAAATAAAACCCTCCTTCATATTTTACCTAATCACGTCAACAGTTCAGTTTCAGTTATTCACGTCATTGTGCAGTATGAGTCAAAATTTGGCAACATGCTTTAAATAATAAATCCCTCCACTGAGAAGTTTAATGGACCTAAAACACGAGTCTAGCTGTGAACTCCCTGATTGTAAATGTGTGTTTAAAAAAACATTACCAGAGCAATGAGGACACATCAAATATTCAGGTCAAGGTGTAAAATGGTTGCACGGCTCTGTGGCACTAAAAAATAACTTTTATCCTACAGTTTTAAGGTTTCATTAACAAGACGTTTCCACGTATTTCACACAGAAAATGGAAGATAAAAGTGAGAAATTCTGAAACATTTGAGCTTCTGTTGTGAGACGGATTCATTGTGCTGCTTCACAGAGGCTGAGATGCAATAAGAGACGGAAAAAGAAGAGACTGTTTTATGGGTTACAGCATGTGAGAGGCTTGTGTTAGGGAGCCATTTAGCCTTGATTCTCCCTGGAGCGTGCAAAAGCTTTTAATGGAGAGAGAGAGAAAGAGAGAGAGAGAGAGGAGTGTGGAATAGATGTTTATCTCGTACATGTGTATTATATGTTCATGATTTTTAAAAAGAAACATTTGTGACTTAAATATCTGCTTCTTTTCTCCCTGCTGAGCTGAAATGCAACGAATTCAGCTAAAAACAAAGGAAAGATGAATGCAAGCTACTCAGCTGAAGCACAAAGTTGATGACGGCAACTGAACCTTAGAGACTTGTGAGTGAGATGGTGTGACGGGATAACAAGAGCAAGACAAGTGCAAAAAAGACAGAATATACAAGTGGAGCAGGAAATACTCTCAGCAGGACACTTTGCAGACTGAGACAACATTCAGAAACATCTCCACTGAATTCTCCTCTCCTCCTTTGTTGTTTTAAAGACGTATCATAAAAGTCCAGCAGAGGGGCTCTTACATGCAAAAAAAGAGCAACATCATGATTGTTAAAAGCAAAGAGGACACTAAATTAACTTTTCCTGACTTCACTCTGTCTGGCAGCATCCTCCAGGTCACGGATGAGGTCAAATATTTGGGACATTACATCACCGCTGACCTGTCTGATGACAGAGACATTTACAGGCAGCGTTGTACTCAATATGTAC